AACTCAATCGACAAGTCATGTGGGAGAAAGACCCGGCAGACCAATTAGATAGTACACGAGCCGGTTCAAACGGGAGCTGGTGATGCCATCATACCCGTTGTTAACCATGCTTTGGGAGAAAGAAGAAACAAGATGGGTGAAAGTTCAGAGTTTGAATTGCAGTCCCGACTACATGTGGATTTGTGTTTACAAGATCGTTATGTAATAGATGGTGTGGATGTTCGCATCGTTCTTCCGATTACCAATGTTTTGTGTGTTGCACTGAACGCCTTATATTATAATTCATGAAAAGGTAGGGTACAACCATTTTCATACATAAAATTATGCACATGTCATGTTGTGAAATTGCAAGAGATGAGATGTCCTCGTTAAATTGAATACAGATTGCAATAGTCCATCGTTTAGCCTATAATATAGAGTAGTGGTAAAAACCGATGGTTTTATTTGTTTATAAAGGGTTTTGAGATGAATGGAGGTGGAATGGATGCAGTGGAAATGTATAAATTATATAATATTTACTTCGTCGGACATTTTCGGATTATAATCTTCTTGAGCTGTGAGATGTTGTCCAGTTGAAATCAATGTTGACAGTGAAGACGAAAACGGTTGGTTGGTTGGTAGATGACAAGTTAACGTTCGCTTCCAGCGGATGCTGATATCGCAAACTAGGTAGTTGTTGGTAGTCGTAGTAGTTGGTAGTTGGATTGGATCAAATTGGATGATTCGGTGTTGTTGGTTTGGTTGTTGATTCTTCGTTAGATCTGGTCGGGTCGAATGACATGGCGGTGAAACTCGGCCCTGGATGGTGTGGCGTGAGTTACTCGGTCTCCTTCATTCTTCCAAACTCGTTCTGATCATGGTATTTCTTGTTGATTGGTAGTCGAATGGTAGTCGTTGGTTTGGTTTGGTTTGGTTAGATTATCTGTTATCTGTTGGAAGAAGACGAAAACACGCCGGCTCGGTTTATATATGAGGCTGCGGTACGCTTGGTTGCTTCTCAAGTTGACAAAGGTCTGTATGGCTTCAGTCAAACGATTCAAGCTGACTTAGGCCAATACAGACCTATACTTTTATTTTGTTTAGGTATTGCGCCTTTTTTTGACTTCATGTTAGCTTTAACTTAAAATACTTTACTGAGAAGTGCACAATAAATTCTGCATGTGCTGATCGTGCGTGCACGTGGATTAAGAATAATTGTTCTGACTCTTCTTCTTGAGAGCGAAAAGTCACTTTGTCAGACAAATCATCTTTTAATATATATTTTTATGTACCTTTTTTCATATATTTCAGTCTGATAAAAAAAAACTACCTGGATGGACGGCATGTAACCAGATGATTATGGAAGACCAATCAGCTCAAAATTCAATGTTCTTATTTCCTAATTGCTATTTCCTAATTGCTAATGCCCATTTTCAATTTATAAATTCTTAATTCTTCATTTGTAGGCTTAACTGAACATTTTTTTTACAAAATTTTACATTTGTTCGCCAATATCTAAACTATTAGTTTCAGACTGCCCTACGTCTAGAAAAATCAACTTTTGTAGTACGAATTCAACATTTTGTCTATTTAAAAATGTCATCTATATTAACCACATTTTCTGTAATACATAACATAACAGTAAATTTCTACTAATAATGTAACAAATTTCAACATATAAATCTAGCTCAACAAATGTGTAACTACAAATCTGCAAATAAAAATCCCCAGAAACAAATCTTCAAAAACATTTCGCCTAATACAAGTCTACAACTTTCTAACAGCATCATTAATAATTATGACGTTATACGGCGCTGTTGACTGCTTGAAAATAAGAAACAGAGTATAGCCAAGTGTTGTTTACCAAACCGAAAGTAGAGTTTACGATTGCGCAGTGGATTGAAAAATCTTCATGGTTTTATAAATAAATCTACCTGCACACGAGTAGACAAAATTTATGAAAAAGGCTGCAGAATTGCTAATGGGTGAGTTAAAGTGACTTATATTATAACTAATAACAAATCTAGTATATAGATAGAGATAGGCTAGGGCACTTTAGGCCTTAACAATTATTCGCCACCCTCATTTTTTATTGGCACGAGATATTTGCCACGAGTGGTAAATAGCAAAAAGTCATTCAAATGGCTATATGACGCGTGGTAAAAATTAAAATTGCATAAAATGAGTCTGTTTGAATATAGTACAGTGGTGTAACCTATTTTCGCGGATATAAGGATTCCACACCGAATCTCGTCAAAGTTAAAAAAACGAAAAAAAATTTTTATGTCTTAGATGTTTCCTCAGATATTCTACAAAATGATTAAAATTGGTTTATTTCGATTTTCTTTATGAATCCTTCACTTTGACCCACATTTCATGAGCAACCAACTCGGCAACGGCGGCAGAATGCGTCACCTATTTTCGTGTACAATGTTTGATCTATAAATAAGTCGAGAAAAACACGTTGTATAGATACCCAGTGGTATAATTAACTTCTCTTAGTATTTATCTTTAATATCAATTCATTATAACTAGTGACAATTCCTTCAAAGAACCACGATTTAAAAAAAAAATAGCGACTGACAAAATAAGAAACGTCGCGTGATTTATTGCTAAAAGTCACTGAAACAACATAAGAATATGGTCCACTTTGTGTTCCATAGAAATTTTCTGCTGACACGGAATCCACTAGTTGATCACGTGACTTCATTCGTTGGACTACATTCTAGCAGACGACACTTGGAATTCCGATTACCGCTTGGGATTATAAGGAAATTCGGCCGATAAAAAATGGTGACGTTTGGTAATAAGTGAAATCCGCCATTTTGTATTTGTCAAAGTATACATTAATACATGTTACCTTGCTTGAAAATACTGGATTCATTCTACTAGCTGATATTGTACAGAAAACCCATGTTTATTACAACAAACTAATGCGGAGGTCGCGCAAGGTCGCTCATGTAAATCATTAATCATTTCCGGAAATCCACGAATAATAGGTTTCCACGAAATTAGGTTACTTGACTGTATGTTTCGGGCATGAAATTTAACGATTTTATTGTGAAGACCAAACAAATATTTCATAAAATAAACGGCTTAAAACAGTTTTTTCAAACTCTAAAACGAAAGTAGGATTTCCAAGGTCAGGGTCAGTGTTGTAGTGTATATGAACCGTGAAAAAATGACCGGGCTTTATGAAATTCAGCATGCCATCATGATCCTTTGTAGTGCGATGCAATACTCTTCATAATATAAGGGACTTTTCCATTAACAAAAATTATAAAATTCCCGTTAATAAGACAAATCGGGCCAAGCGATATAGATGGCTTTCCAGGCAAGGGGAACTAATATACACCCTCTGGCAGCTGTCTGCAATGATAAAAAGAGTTTTTAGAGACTTAAAGACAATTTATAAGGACCTTAATAATGAATGTATAGTTTTTGTCACTTACTTTTGTTGATCTTTCCCATCGTACACCTACCCAGTATCACTTTTAGTATAGTCATCAATATCAGCCGTTATCACTTATATTCTGCGCACACAAGCCCAGTATCAGTTATTATAGTCACCAACATCAACCCATTTTCACCCCAGTTTCCCATCGTACACCAAGCCAGTATCACTTTTAGTATAGTCATCAACATCAACCGTTATCACTTATATTCTGCGAACACAAGCCCAGTATCACTTATTATAGTCACCAACATCAACCCAGTTTCACCCCAGTTTCCATCGTACACCAACCCAGTATACTTTTAGTATAGTCATCAACATCAACCGTTATCACGTATATTCACCGTACGCCAGTCCAATATCACTTATAGTATAGTCACCCAGAAGTACCGAGTATCAACTCTTGTCGCCGTAGATAAACCTAGTCTCACTTATAGTCACTGGACATAAGCCAAGTATCACCTATCGTCGCCGTATTTCTGTCCAATATACCAACCTGAACATAAACCGAGTCTCACTTTTGGTCACTGGGCATAAGCCCAGTATCAACTATATAATCATCGTTCACCAACCCGGTAACATTAATGGTGACTAATACCCACTCACATATGGTTACCGTGCATCAACCCAATCTCACCTATATTCACTGTATAACAGTATACAACCTCACCAATAGTCACCAACACCAAACAAGTCACTGATATCGTGCCAGCATCACCTATGGTCAGCGTACATCAACCCAATCTAATCTTTAGTCTTTGTAAATTAGTTCAATATCAACTAGATATCACTGACTAAACGTGATTCTCGGTTAGTGTTAAGTTACTATAGGTAGATAACAATGACTATACGTGATACTGGGTTAGTGTTTAGTTACTATAGGAAGATATTAATGACTATACGTGATACTCGGTTAGTGTTTAGTGACTATAGGAAGATATCAATGACTATACGTGATTCTCGGTTAGTGTTTAGTTACTATAGGTAGAAATCAATGACTATACGTGATACTGGGTTAGTGTTTAGTGACTATAGGTAGATATCAATGACTATTGGTGATACTCGGTTAGTGTTTAGTGACTATAGGTAGATATTAACTCGGTTAGTGTTTAGTGACTATAAGTAGATATTAATGACTATACGTGATACTCGGTTAGTGTTTAGTGACTATAGAAAGATACTAATGAATATACGTGATACTGGGTTAGTGTTAAGTGACTATAGGTAGATATCAATGACTATACGTGATACTCCGTTAGTATTTAGTGACTATAGGTAGATATCAATGACTATACGTGATTCTCGGTTAGTGTTTAGTGACTATAAGTGGATATTAATATCTATAGGTGATACTGGGTTAGTGTTTAGTGATTATAGGAAGATATTAATGACTATACGTGATTTTCGGTTAGTGTTTAGTGACTATAGGTAGATATTAATGACTATACGTGATAATCGGTTAGTGTTAAGTGACTATAGAAAGATACTAATGACTATACGTGATACTGGGTTAGTGTTAAGTGACTATAGGTAGATATCAATGACTATACGTGATACTCGGTTAGTATTTAGTGACTATAGGTAGATATCAATGACTATACGTGATTCTCTGTTAGTGTTTAGTGACTATAAGTGGATATTAATGACTATAGGTGATACTGTGTTAGTGTTTAGTGATTATAGGTAGATATCAATGACTATACGTGATAATGGGTTAGTGTTTAGTGACTATGGGTAGAAATCAATGACTATACGTGATTCTCGGTTAGTGTTTAGTGACTATAAGTAGATATTAATGACTATAGGGGATACTGGGTTAGTGTTAAGTGACTATAGGTAGATATTAATGACTATAGGTGATACTCGGTTAGTGGTTAGTTACTATAGGTAGATATCAATGACTATGCGTGATTCGCGGCTAGTGTTTAGTGAAGAGAGGCAGATATTAATGACTATAGTTGATACTCGGTTGTATTTACTGACTATAGGTAGATATTAATGACTTTATGTGATACTGGGTTAGTGTTTAGTGACTATAGGTAGATATTAATGACTATACGTGATACTGGGTTAGTGTTAGTGACTATAGATAAATATTAATGACTATATGTGATACTAGGTTAGTGTTTAGTGACTATAGGTAGATATCAATGACAGTAGTATAAGAGTATATAGATAGGGGGCACTTTTGTATAATTTATAAAAAAAAATCACTTTTTCCTAACGTCAAAAAGCGATTTTTTTTTATAAATTATACAAAAGTACCCCCTATCTATATACTCTTATACTACTCTTTTGCCTGCAGCGCCCACAAGCCCACCAAACAAACAACCCCATCAGGCACACAGTTAATAAATCCGGAGCCTATAGGGGTACAAGTTTACTAACCCCCAAGCGCCCCAGGCCAATAATATCTTTAAATTAACTCATTTAAAAGCAGAATGAGTTTAATTTTAAAACACGAACAACACAAATTCGAAGGAGATGGTTTCTTCTCAGCTCTAACATCTCTCATCCCAAAAGTAGCCAACTTTGTCTCAAACAACAAATCCCTCATTTCCTCAGAAGCGCAAGCTCTTGGATCTGTGGCAAAAGCAGGAATTCAAAAATCATTAGGTTCTCTTCCTGAATTTCCATGGGCAAAATATCCCGGAGAAAAACATCTTCCCGGTCATAATTACACTGGTTCAGGTACAAGGTTAGATCTGCGATTAGACGAAAACGATAAACCCAAACCCGGTGAAGAACCAGTCAATAGAGTTGACGCCGTTGCACTAAAACACGATATACTATACAGAAATAAAGACATAACATCCAGAGACGAAGCAGACAGACAAATGATAATCGAACTTTAAAATATTCCAAATCCAACTTTTCAAAGAGAGAATGCAAAAAGCAATAATCATTAAACTCTTTAAAGCAAAGATGAATATGGGTATGGGAATAGCAGATGAAATACATAAAGAATTTAGAAAAAAAAAAACATTTTTTAAAAGTCAAAGTGTTTGATAAAGATGAAATATGGTCAGCAGATTTAATTAATATGCCAGTCGAAAGAGGATAATATTGTTTAACAGTTATAGATTTGTATACAAGATATACTTGGGTTATTCCTCTCAAAAACAAAACAGGTTTATCAGTCAAACACGCATTTGAAACAATAATGAAACAATCTGACAGACGACCTCAAAAGTTATGGGTAGATAAAGGAAGTGAATTTTATAACAAAAATATGAAATCTCTGAAATTTACAGTACGCATAATGAAGGTAAAGCTGTAGTAATAGAAAGATTTAACAGGACTCTTAAAAATAAATTATTCAAAAAGTTCACGCAATTGGAATCCCAAAAATGGCTTAAATTATTACCAGAGGTTGTAGATGAATACAATAACAATATTCATTCATCTATAGGTGTCACACCAACACAAGCCTCGAGTAATCCAAATATTATAAAGTCAATTAACGCACAAAATAACTACGAAAATAAAGAATTTAAATATCAAACCCAAATTTAAAGTCGGAGATCGAGTTCGTATTTTCAAATATAAAAGCAAATTCGAAAAAGGCTACGTCGGATTTTGGACAAACGAAATATCTATCGTAGATAAAGTAAACAGCACATCACCTCCGACATATGAATTAATCGATCAAGACAAAGAACAAATCATAGGTAGGTTCTATCAAAACTAACTTCAAAAAACTGACTTTTAAAATGAATATCTTTCTCGATAAATTTGGAACCGATACAACCACAAACTTTCATCTTATGAGATGGGCGAATGAGTTAAATATATCACCATTTTATTATTGTATGAGAGATGAAATAAATAATCTCAAATATAAGAAAGGTAAATTTTACGCTATAACAAATATACACACTTCCAATCAAAAAGGAGTTCATCATTCTGCTTTGTACAAAGACTCTTTAAAAAACTTTTATTTCTTCGATTCTTTTGGATTAGAGCTCACTGAAGAGATAGTGAAATTAACTAATAAACCAATCAAATGTTCAACATTTCAATTTCAATTACCAGGACAAAAGTTTTGTGGACAGCTTTCACTTTTGGTTTTATATCAGTTGAGTTTAGGAAAACAATTTGAAGAAATTATAATAAATTTAACTTAATAAAAATGGCGAATAAATTTGGATTAGGTTCTTTACCTTTAGATACTAAAAAACCTAACACAACAGCATGGATAAATAAAGCAAAACCTTATTTTGTGGATCAAATTGGAGACAAACTTCAAGGTGATTTAGATATGAATAATTTTACCATAACTAATTCAAGGTTACCAAAAAATGATTATGATGCTGTTCACAAGAAATATTTAATGGATCAAATAAATTTAATTGAAGTAAATAAAGAACATTTAAAAGAAAGAAAAGGCGATGTGAAAAGAAACTTCAAACGACAAATAGATGATAAAGATTTTATTGATGATACTAAGTTACAACAAGAAGTAACAAGTTTGAAAAGTTTTATTGAAGAACAATTACTTAATGTAGTAGATAAAACTCAATTACAACCTTTAAGTTCATCAATATCTAATTTAGATGATAAGATTACAAAGCAAAAAATAGATCTTAAACAACTAATAGCCAATATTAATCCAGATACTAACTTGAAAATTCAAGATACTAACTTGAAAATTCAAGATACTAACTTGAAAATTCAAGATACTAACTTGAAAATTCAACATTCTAACTTGAAAATTCAACATACTAACTTGAAAATTCAACTTAATAAATTCAACATACTAGCTTGAAAATTCAACATACTAACTTGAAAATTCAAAAAAAAAAATGAACGGCATTAATACGCTTCCGTAGTTTAGTGACTATAGGTAGATATTAATGACTATAGGTGATACTGGGTTAGTGTTTAGTAACTGTAGGTAGATATTAATGACTATACGTGATACTGTGTTAGTGTTTAGTGACTATAGGTCGATATTAATGACTATAGGTGATACTCGGTTAGTGTTTAGTGACTATATGTCGATATTAATGACTATAGGTGTTATTTAGTTAGTTTTTAGTGGCTATAGGTAGATATTAATGACTATACGTGATATTCAGTTAGTCTTTAGTGACTATAGGTAGATATTAATGACTATACGTGATACTCGGTTAGTGTTTAGCGACTATAGGTAGATATTAATGACTGAGTTCCTTTAGTTTCTTTATACAGACTGAGTTCCTTTAGTTTCTTTATACAGACTGAGTTCCTTTAGTTTCTTAGCTTCTTTTTATTACTCTCATGTTAAATAAATATGTTATGAAATTTAAGCCTTAACCACGTGGTCATATGTGAATGAGATAAAAGTAACTATACACCGTTTAAATAATGGCCGACAAATTTCATTGCTTGCTTTTTTCTGAAGACCTAGCGAATCAAAAACAAAACTTTAGTTGAAATTTATATATCATTTACACCATTATAACATTGATACACTAGCCTCAAACTATAAAATCATTCAAAAGTTGTGTTAGAAAAAACACGTGGTATGTTAAAACGTACCACTTATTATTAACATGAAGCCCTATGGTGACCTTGCTACAGTTACCACGAGAGGCAAATAGACACTTCCCTTATTTATAGATCAAACATTGTACACGAAAATAGGTGACGCATTCTGCCGCCGTTGCCGAGTTGGTTGCTCATGAAATATGGGTCAAAGTGAAGGATTCATAAAGAAAATCGAAATAAACCAATTTTAATTATTTTGTAGAATATCTGAGGAAACAGCTAAGACATAAAAAATTTTTTTTCGTTTTTTTTACTTTGACGAAATTCGGTGTTGAATCCTTATATCCACGAAAATAGGTTACACCACTATATATTAGACATTGTTACTATATTAACTAAATTTCCCTAGCCTATCTATCTATAGGTTTGTTATAAGTTATAATATAAGTCACTTTAACTCATTAACAAGTCTGCAGCCTTTTTCATGTATTCAAGAGCTTCTTTTTTTTCTTGGGCTGATCCATGATTTTGTCTACTCGTGTGCAGGTGGATTATTTATAAACTACGAGGCAACAGTTTTCGGTCTACTGCGCAATCGTAAACTCTACTTTCGGTTTGGTAAACAACACTTGGCTATAGTCTGTTTCTTATTTTGAAGCAATCATCAGCGCTGCCTGTTCCGAATATATCTGTAGTTGTAAATATTTCTTGTATGATCAGATTATGTCGGACTATTGCTTAGCATGGAGAATTTAATCGTGTTCTGTTGCGGAAATCATTGCTTAGCCAATCAGAAATAGCACGTGCATTACGTCATTTATTAGTCGATCAGCCATCTTTACATATTGTCATTTGCATTCATAGTCATCATTCATCGTTCATATTTGATTCGTAGTGACCTAACATCACTTTAGGGCAGGAGGAACACCATTTCCAGGTATTATATTGATGAATTAAGCATTTGTACGCATCTATAATGTATCGGTGTATACATAATATCATTTTCAGTAAGAATGAACTTTAGCATGGTCAAACTAGAAATTAGCTTCCCGGTCAAGTGCAATAGTCCTGTGCAATATTTTAAGTCTCATATTTTTGCCCATGTCATATTATTGCTCATTTATTATTAAGGTCTATATTGTGTCAATTAACTATATTTTTAGTCATTATGCTCATATTTTAAGTCATATTAGTAGTTTAGACAATCTCCCTTTAGCATCGTCTGCTATTTTGAGACTGTAAGTCATACCAGCTACTGTGCTATTTTAGTGTCATATTAGTCTGTCAGTGTCTTATTATTTGTCATATATGTCATTTCAGAATATAGAAGTCTGTATACTGTTCGCAAAGAAACTATTTTCGCCAACAACTAGGCCTAGTCAATAAAATTAAGTCATTATAAAGTCATCATTAGTCGTCAAGTCATTTTTCCTTCGCGAACTGTATATGAACAGATATGTCGATAATCTGTTTCATATTACGGAATACCAGTCTGCCACATAATCCTGCCACATAATATAACAAATTGGACGAGACTTCACAGAAGTTGAAGTTCGATCATAATTTTATCAGCCAATCTGTAGTGATGAGGGATTAAGTGAGATAGCATGTGCGCATGACAAGATCAGTTTTTGAATGTCCCATGTGTCAGAACTATCTGTAGTGTTAAGGGTGGGACATTGTTCATCTGCAGTGGAGGGCACTTAATCCCTCATCACGATCAAGATGGTCCGGTGCGGCGATGCGTTCATTTCACCGCAGCGTTTCACCAGATCGAAACAAACAAGGGTATGTAATTGACATGACACATACATGCAGTTGCATTGCGTTGTTATATTTTCCCGCTGCGTTTCACCGGACCAAAAAGTCATTGTGGGGAAACCTTATTTTACATAGTGGAAGCCGTCAACATGCTACGTCCAGCAGCAATAACTCCACGCGCGTGTGTGTCATACCTGCCGCAACGGTACCGCATAATCGCACCGGTTTACCGCAAAGCAGGCATCGCACCCGCATGTTTGTGTCTTCAGCTTTAACGTTAATTGCCGAATTGTCCGGAAATTGCCGAATGGTGATTATGTTGCATTCGATTTTCATTCAATGCTACAGGTGTGATACGCACTGCCTCAGTGCCCGTCTGCACGGCTCTAGTTCTTTTTGTAATTCACTGTTAAGTTTAGTTTCCAGGGCATTTAATTCCTGTTGAAACGTATCTTCATTTTCATCTGGAATGTTATCTATTAATTGTTGAATATCTAATTTTTGTTTTGCAATCTTATCATCTAATTTAGATATTAATGAAATTAAATTTTCTAACTCAGTTTTGTTCACTACGTTGACCGAAT